CATCACCAGCATGAGCCACATTTCACCATCGAGAGGCCCAACTCCACCTTCTAGGTGCATGACCCACTCACTCAGGGTCTGCCAATATAAACTCCTTGGGAACACACACACACACACACACACACACAGATGCAAACAACTCAAATGTGCATCAACAGATGAATAGACAAGCAAATGTGATAAACCCATACAATAGAATATTACTCAGCTATTAAAAGGAACTAACACGTGCAACAGCATCAGTGATCTCAAAATCAGTACTGAGCAAAAGAAGCTAGACTGAAAAAAAAGTATATACTGTATAAGACTCATATGAAATTCCAGAAAGGAAAATCTACAGTTCACCAGATTAATGGTTACCTGAAACTTGGGGTGTGGGTCAGGCAGCATGGACTGCAAAAGGTGCAAGGGAACATTTTAAAGTGATGAAAATGTGCTATTTCTTGATCGTGATTGTACCACGTTTATGGTCACCTGTTAAAATTCTTTGAACCATAACTTAACCTGGGTGCATTTTATTTCATACAAATTATGCCTCAATATTTTTTTTTTTTAAGTTGCACATAGCAGTTAAGGGCACATACCCTGAGCCCATTGGCCTGGCTTGGAAACCCAGTTCCAACTTTCATTAAGCTGTGTGACCTTGAGCACGTTACGCATCCTCCCTTTGCCTGTTTCATCACTGGTAGCATCAGGATAATAACAATAGTACCTGCCTCATAGGGTTGTTGTAAGCATGAAATGAATTAATAAAAATAAAGCCCTTAGATCAGATAGCAAGTATTAATATTATTACTGGTGATTTAGCTGGTCAAGTAGCCATTCATAGGCACAAATATTTGAAAATGGACTACNAAATCATCTGCTATCACACAACACTCACTCGGAGAAACACTCATCTTTGCCAGTCTCTATCTCACAGAGCCAGAAAACAGACATGTCATTTTTTCTAGGTTTCTGAAAACTTGTGCAGTTTTTATATTTCCTTTGAGTTACAGTCATGATAGGCACATAACAAGAATGAATGCTCCTCACGCTGACTACCAAACGTGAATTTAGCTAGCACTCATCCTGTGTGGTTGCAGTCTGGTTTAGCAAGAAAACAATAAAATGTCCAAAAGTTCCAGATGTGAGACAACTGGGTGAGGCACCTCTGTAAACCTTCCTCCTTGGATTTCTTATTAGGATCATTTCAAGGATCATTAGAAGATTTGTCTATGACTTAATTCCGAAAACTGGAGGACTTTGCAGTTGGAAGATTATTAAAACAGCACAAGATAGCACCGTAGGAAGAGAGGTGCTCAGAGCAGTGGGGTTTAGCTGTGTCCCACGGCCAGGATACTTCTCCTGTGGTTGTACAAACTGGGAAAAGTCACTGTCCCCTTCTGGATCAGATTCTTCTCTAGAATAGAAGTTCCATATGGACAGGGGCCATATATGTTTTGTATACTGTTGTGTCTCAGTACCTAGAACAGTGCTTGGCACATATAAGGTATTCAATAAATACTGGTTGAATGATTGAACCAACCAACCCATTTATCTATAAATGAGCTAAGTGGTCTCTAAGGTCTCTTCCAAAAAGTGAAAATAAAATGATGCTCTAACCCAGGAAACTATGAGACTAGAAGAAAGTATGTGAGTAGAGACCTCCATATCCACAAATTATCTATGGACAGTCCAGTGGATTTAGCAGATGCAAGTTGAAGGAAAGAACAAAATAAATCCTCCAACTGGATCACCCAAAGCAAGAGCCAGTAGCCCAGCAATGGTGACAACATGGGCTGGCAGACCTGTAAGATCTTCAGTGGTGATGTCCAAAGGAGTTGCCAAGTCTCCAGGGGACTGACCCAAGCCACAAACTCTGGTCCCACAGTTATCAATGACTTGGATGAGATCAAAGAGAATTATTTATCAAATTCCTAGATGACAGGAAAGAAACAGCAGATATAAAACATGGCAAAATCAGAATCTAAAATGGTTTGGGTAGGATGAGATGGCATAGGGAATCTAAAAATGTAAAATGGAAAAGAGATATTTTCCCTTTACTTCAAAAAGCCAACGGCGCAACTGAGAAATGGAGAACAAATAACTTGCAATTCTGTACATCTTGGGTGCTAGTAAAAAGCAGATCAACTTTTAGTTGGCTTCATTATTGCTTTTAAATTCTCTACAGACTGTGCATGCCATTATTGCCTGCACCCAGCAGACCAAATGTGCATCAACAGATGAATAGACAAGCAAATGTGATAAACCCATACAATAGAATATTACTCAGCTATTAAAAGGAACTAACGCGTGCAACAGCATCAGTGATCTCAAAATCAGTACTGAGCAAAAGAAGCTAGACTGAAAAAAAAGTATATACTGTATAAGACTCATATGAAATTCCAGAAAGGAAAATCTACAGTTCACCAGATTAATGGTTACCTGAAACTTGGGGTGTGGGTCAGGCAGCATGGACTGCAAAAGGTGCAAGGGAACATTTTAAAGTGATGAAAATGTGCTATTTCTTGATCATGATTGTACCACGTTTATGGTCACCTGTTAAAATTCTTTGAACCATAACTTAACCTGGGTGCATTTTATTTCATACAAATTATGCCTCAATATATTTTTTTTTTAAGTTGCACATAGCAGTTAAGGGCACATACCCTGAGCCCATTGGCCTGGCTTGGAAACCCAGTTCCAACTTTCATTAAGCTGTGTGACCTTGAGCACGTTACGCATCCTCCCTTTGCCTGTTTCATCACTGGTAGCATCAGGATAATAACAATAGTACCTGCCTCATAGGGTTGTTGTAAGCATGAAATGAATTAATAAAAATAAAGCCCTTAGATCAGATAGCAAGTATAATATTATTACTGGTGATTTAGCTGGTCAAGTAGCCATTCATAGGCACAAATATTTGAAAATGGACTATGGGTTGTTGTAAGCATGAAATGAATTAATAAAAATAAAGCCCTTAGATCAGATAGCAAGTATTAATATTATTACTGGTGATTTAGCTGGTCAAGTAGCCATTCATAGGCACAAATATTTGAAAATGGACTATTCTCTCCTTTTTTCACGGTTTTCATCTCTAGTTTCTAGCTCAGGGTTATACAAAGGGTGGATACTTAATAAATACTTGTTTAGTGCATGAACTATTTATTTAATGAATAAACACTTATTCAACATATTGCATAAAACTATACCTAGTGATGGAGTTTCTATCTGGGGTGAGGGAAAAGTTTCGAATGTAGTGGTGATGGCTGCACCACATTGGGAATGCTACTAATGCCAGTGAACTGTATACTTTAAATAGCTAAAATGGCATATTTTATGTTATATATATTTTTAACCACAGTAAAATTAAAAGTCCATAAATCAAAGTCAGAGAAGCCCTTCTCTCCTCAGAGCTGTGCTTCACTTCCTCACCCCAACTCATGTCTCTAGTTGCTCAAAGCAGAAGAACAGTTGTGTTTCTAATGCAGCCTCCACGGAGATCTGAAACTCCACTTGACAACTCGCCCCCATTATCCAGTCCATTTCAACAGCAGAAGAACAAGGCCAGATGTTCCAAAATGCATCACTGTCCCATAAGGATACTGGCTCCCATTGACTAAGCATCTAGTATGTGTCCTTTTTACAGGTAAAAAGAGGTGGCCCCAAAGGGTCTATCTAACTTATTCACAAAGCCACAGAGCTACAAAGTTATGTGTGCTAGCACTCTTTCCTCTGTGCCATGCTGCTCTTGGTGGTAGAGGAAATAAACCCAGCTATGCCTCTGGTCAACCAGGCACGGGCCCTTAAGTAGATCAGGAACGACTGAGGCTTTGACCAGTGGTCCTGGTCAAGGAAACAGCATCCAAACGGCCGGGCCGTGCAGCCAGGAATGGTCCAGGAGCTGCGAGGAGCTCCCAGCTGACCCAGAAGCCTAAGCCCAGTCACCTCTCTCTGCTGTGAAGTGACACCTCCTCCTGGTACCACCAGCACAGCTTTGCTCCCTTTGTCATCAGACCCCACAATGCCCAAGCTCCAACCCAAGCGTGACTCAAACTTTAGCATTTTATGTCATTTCTTCTTTTGCCAAGTGGATCACAAACTGGGAAGCCTTTCAGCAAAGGCCAGCCTACTCCGTCCCTCCCCAAACACCAAACTGAGTGAAAAGTACATCCCTGGAGCAGGAGCAGTAGTTGGCCCATGAAGGAGAGGAGAGATTTATCACTGACATTGTTCAGAATCACCAGTGCAGGGTGCTAGTAAAAAGCAGATCAACTTTTAGTTGGCTTCATTATTGCTTTTAAATTCTCTACAGACTGTGCATGCCATTATTGCCTGCACCCAGCAGACTGCTCCTGCCAGCCTCTGCCCTCTCGGCAGGACACTGCCTAGAAGATTGCTCCGTGACTTCTGCAGCCAATGTCTCAGCCAGCAAACTGCCTGCTCCTCAGACACTTCCTTCATGGCACGCGATAAACTGCCTGGGCACTTACCAGATCAGCAGTAAAGATTTTACTTTTTAAAGATCAAAGTGCAAATGCTCATCAGACTAAATCAGCTAACTGGGGGGACGATGAATTGCATTTTCCTTTTAGAAATAAACACTTAACTTTTACTAATCCATATCAAGTTGCAACTTTAACTGCTCCTGTAAGTGCAGAAGTATCCCCTGTCTATAAATTGGTCCATTCGTGCAATATGGCCAACTCCAAAAAAATGCAATTGGCAGGAACTTGCACCCCTAACAACCCCTAAGGTTGAGCCTGCACTATTCTTCTCTGGGGATTTTTCTTCTGTCTCCCCAGAGGAGACCAATGCATTGTTGTCTGTAGCAACCAGCTCCCCTCATTTCATCTCCAGTGCCTCCTGCAGTGAGGTCCTACCACCCAGCCACTGAGGAGGAAAACCCCTTAGGGAAGAGTTAATGGGAACAAGCCCCAGGCCGCCTGGGCTGTACTCTCTCCCTGGCAAAGGTCAATTTCCAGTTACAAACGGATGTACAGAAGGCTTTTGCTTACTTGAGGTGGAATTCTCGATCTGCTGTAATGTTCTCAGAACTTTGTGTATATCCTTCATGCTGGTGTCTTTCTGGCTGTATAAAAGAAGCCTCCGAGCATCTGAGAAAAGGCGAGACACTCTGTGAAGGGTGCAAGAAAGGGGAAAAACTATGGTTAGGCCAGCTGCTTCTCCCACTTTAAGAAAGTGACTGCCAGGTCCACATGCCCCAGCCTGGCTTCCAGGTCCTCCACAGGCAGGCCCTGGCCACTCTCACTGCTCCCCACACTCAACTTCATTGATACCTGTGCTCCCACCCACCCACCCATCATCCCTGCATGTGTCTAGACACCCAAATCTTATCACCCTTCAAGGCCCAGCCTACCAGACACACACACACACACACACACACACACACACCCAAGGCCAACTTAGCCATAAGGCACAATAGGTACAGTGCCTGGGCCCATGACACTTCCAGGGGCACATAAAAATGTTTTGCTTTCTTTTCAAATCAGAATAAAAATTAATAGAATGCATATATAATAATGAATCCAGCCTGAATTATATTCATCTTCATACCAATATGGTCATAAAATATAATCTTTAATATTTCTGTATGGAAGAAGGGGCCCATGAAGTCTATGGCCCATGAGTGTTACAATGTGGCCCTACTTGCCCCAGCTGCAACTCTCTCAGAATTGTCCTGAGTCTTTAGTACATTTTACAATCCTTAGTCCATAGTCCATTCTAACTCATGTCATGGACCTATGCATTTGAAGAACTTTCAGTGTCACTCGGAAGACACTCACCAAGCCCCTACTTATGTCTGGCATTCAAACCAGCAGCCAGGAATACAAACGCAAAGAAAGCAGCACCTGCCCTCAAGGAGCTCCCACCCAGGAAGAGAAAGACCTGCATACTGCAGCAACGTGGCAGTATGACAGAGGCAGTTAACAGAGGTCAGAAAGTGATCTGAGAGCAGAGGACAGAACTCTCCCAGCATTGCTACTTGAGGACTGGGACCCTTCCAGTGTGCCTCTTTGTACGTGCCACTGCCCCCCAGCTCCTAGAACCATCCGTGTCAGACTTACAGTAAGTGTTTGCAGAATGAATGGTCAGACAAACAGATGGAGCTGATGTGCTGTGTCTCCCTCCCCTAATTATCAGCCAGTTTTTGGAGGAACAGACCCCAACCACATGGCTTTTGGCTACACCTCATCATTACTCTGAAAATGCACCAAAGGTCCCACAGTCTTAAATCCTGGTGGCAATTCCCTTCCCTCATTCTGTAGATCTTATCACACAAAGCTTTACAAAAGCAACTTCACTTAGATCCAGCCATTCAAAATAGTCCAGAGGATGAAAAGAGAAGGAAAACTATCAACTGACAAGTTTGGAGAAGAAAATCTGATCTGGTACTTACATGGATTTGTTAAAGTTTCCAACCACCCCAGGAGCCTCACCAGGAGTAGGATAACGGAAACAGGGGTTGTTGGCATTACAGATAATCCCCTGAATCCAGGGAAGTGTTCCTGCAGAGGGCATGGCTTTATTTGGAAAGTGGCCTGTTGAAATTGAGAAGAAAAACAGAGAGAAACATGAATTCTTTTAAGCAATTTCCAGACTTGATAGGAGCCCTTATCTCTACTAGTTCCGCCCATACAAGGTTTCATCCCAAATCTGTCCCATTCCCCACATCCCAGAGACCTGCCTCCTCTGGACTAACCCACCCTGAGCTGGAAACTTAGCATCAGCTAGTGGCGGCTCTTAATCTGCCTGACATCATCTGCAGAATGGGGTCATGACAACCACTTTCAGGCAGTGACAAGAGGTGTAGGCTTGACCGTACACAGAAAGTGCCCAGCAGGCAGCAAGTGCTTGGTCATCCTCAGTCCATCTTCTGTCACCAGCCCACATCCCCGAGACACAGAGGGGCCTTGGAGATGACCTAATCCAGTTCCTCACACTGGAGGAGGCAACTACAGCAAGATGAAGTGGCCGTGGCCAATGAAGAGCACTCGGAGCATCAGCGAGTGCGCCCCGAGTAGCGCCTACATCCCTCTGATCCAGCTCCAAGCCCCCCTCACACCTGCAGCCTCCCCCATGCCCTAGCTCTTCTCCATCCCCTCGGCCAGGCTGCTCTCCTGGGTGTGCCCAACATCTGTTAGTTTCACCTCCTCTGCCAGCTCAAAAGCTCCTCAAGAGCACCTCAGAAAACAGGCTGACATGGGGTCGGATGTCATCTGTGAAGCCACATGTGTTTTGTTACTTGTTACTGCTGTTTGTCACTCACCAAAACAATGAGACCCCACCCACAAGGGCATCTCCTCTCCCTTATCATGGTCAGCTTCTTACAAGCAAGATGAGTGGGCATATCTGGGTGGGGTCTTCGGCTCAGTTTGGCACAGTTTCCTTTGTGGCAGTCATCCGTGGCTGCTGCTTGTGAGGATCAAGATAAACGTGCCCTGGACCAGGGGCTCTTATCCCGAGGACCGTTCATGTTCAGACAGAAAGGCCATGGCTCTGGCTTTCATCATGGCCTCAGGGTTATCTGTGACCCCAAAAGAGTCAACAACCATGAAGAAGCACAGCTCTAGGTGGTGAAGAGCACGTTGCTTCATGAGCTTTGGGATCAAACCAATTCGGACTCATGTTCAGTCCCTGCAACTTGCTAAGCAGCAACTGTGGCCTAGTCACTGACTCCCTAGCCCTCAGTTTTCTCATCTGTAAAATGGTGATACAAAATTCACTTTACATCACAGAGCTGAGGTGAGTCTTACATGAGCTCGTACAGGAAAAGCACTTAGCAGAGTGCCTGGCACAGGATAAAGGCTCTGTGAACGGGCGCGTTAGGATTTTCAAGGCACGGAGGTGGTGAGCCTGCAATGGCACTCACTCTGCTACTGTCCTTCCCTCTCACAGCTACCACCCTCCTCCAAAGTAGAAACCTATTTTATTCATCTTTCTATTTTCATGCAAATATGCTAAGCCACTCTCTGGCTCTCAGAAAGTTAACCCAAAGCCAGGACTTGCTGCACTTTGCGTTTCAGTATTGGGGCCCATCCTGAAGGGACACTTCCTCTCTCTCTTCTAGCCATGCTCCAACCAGAGAGGCAACATCCAAAGCAAGGATGTGACAAGATCTGATCACTGTGGCCACCCTCTGCAGGGACTCTGGCCTGTTGAACATTTACTCAGTTAATCTCCTTATCTCCCTGTTAATAGTTCAAGGAAAACTAAACAAGGCCCCTTGCCTAAGTCAGCTATTCCTCATTCAAGGGAGATTTACGCAACTCAACCAAATACTTGGAGGACCAAGGGATTCTCCCCTTTCAATTCCAGGAGATCCTGGCACTACAAACAGGATGGTGTAGGTCACAGGCAGCACAGGGCAGTGACGGAGAAGGGATTTCGGACTATCCCTTGGTGGGGGAAGCAAAGACCCTTCTTTGTATGTCATGTCCCATCCTATCTCCAAACAGAAGCAGGATGAGGACTAGGCACTGGGTGCACGGGATGACAATCGAGTAGCATAATAGACTCCCAGGACCCAGGAAAGTTATCAAGATCTTGATGACTCTGGGTTAAAGTGGGATAGATTTATGGGGAAGAATTATACAGCAGTCCTTTGTTCAAAGACAAGACACCTCTGCAAGCTTCTCCTTAGTTCTCAACTCTGCACTTCCAACTAGGTCCCTAGAAGGTAGGAGAATAGGAGGTTAGGTTGCAAGAAGTGCACAGATAGATGGGAAAAGTCTTATTTGCCTCCTATATGTACAAGAATTTCACAATATTTCTGAGAATCTATAGTCTGGAGTCAGAGGGATCTGGGTCAAAACTCAACAACTTGCCCAGGATCACAACCCCAGCGAGTGGCAGAGTCAGGATCCAAACAAACCCTAACTTGTCTGATGCCAAAGTCTATGCTATTTCCACTATGCCATCTTGCCTGCTTATGAGACTTCCAGAAAGAGAATAGCCTAATGGATAAAAAAGCTGAGTCTGCCCTAAAACATGCACTTCAGTGAAGCTCAGGGTAATGCTTAAATAAAATCTCTATGCTATTTCCACTATGCCATCTTGCCTGCTTATGAGACTTCCAGAAAGAGAATAGCCTGATGGATAAAAAAGCTGAGTCTGCCCTAAAACATGCACTTCAGTGAAGCTCAGGGTAATGCTTAAATAAAATTAAATATGCATCTGTTCATCCATCAACAAAATCTCTTTGGGGCTCCAAGGGAAAAAGCAGAATTACTGCACAGGCCTGTTAAATTGAGTATAGATTTCATTTTATGTTTCTCTCCTTTTTGGCGAAATCAGAAAATCATGTCTGGGGGAATGTTCTTAAGATTGTGTGTGTGTGTAACTTAAACATGTGTGATGTGTATTAGTAAATTAGCATGTAAATAACTGCTATGTGCTATCAAGAAACACAATTAAGGGCCGGCCCAGTGGCGCACTGCTACAGTGCGCCGCTTGGGAGCGTGGTGGCGCTCCCGCCGAGGGTTCGGATCCCACATACAGACCGGTTCCCGCTCACTGGCTGAGCGAGGTGTGGGAGCAACGCCAAGGGTTGCGATTCCGTTGCCGGTCCCGGTCTGGTACGGGCGCGACACTGAGGGTTGCGATCCGTTGCCGGACACGAAAAAAAAAAAAGACAAAAAAAGGAAAAAAAAAAAACACAATTAAAAGGTGGCCCTGGCCCTGTCGCTTTCCTGGAAGAGCAGTATTCTGTAAGCCTATGGCTCTGGTGGGGTTGAGGGTGGAGCTGGTTATTGGTAGGAAAAGTCACTGGGGCAGTGAAGCTGAAGTCCCAGCTAAAACTCCCACATAAATGTGGATCCTATAGATTTGCACATTTCTGCAGTGTCAATCCATCCATCAAACCCAGCCATACAAGAAGGACTGTGATTGCAGGATGATAACACTGGCAATAATAACATGAGGTTATTGCTATTCCGATGTTTTAAAGAAGCTAAAGTCACTGCCCAGGTTGATATGCCTAGTGAATGCTGAAGCCAGGATTCAAACCCCGATAACCTGACATCTACAGCTTGTGTTCTTAGCCACTACTGAATTTTCAGTGTAAAGGCTGTCATCAAGATACATGATCGAGAGTCAGATGACCTGAGTTTTACTTCACCTGTATCACATATTAGATACGTGACCCTGGGCAAATCCCTGTACTTCTCTGAGACCCAATTTACCTATCAAGAAACTAAAGCAAATGATAATAATAATAAAGTCTACTATACAAGACTGTTATGAGAATCAAATGAAATATTCATCTAACTGAGAATTTCTATACAAATCCTGCCTGAGAGTATGTGTTCCATGATTTGCAACTGTGTGATGAACACAATGCATGTGGAAAAGACTGGTTGGGACCAGATGACGGTGGTGCTAAGGCATTGCCTTAAGGATGCTTTTACAGGCAAAGCTTTTTAATTGCCACTTTCTGGACTATTAATAAGTTTATTTTGTTTTCATGATTTTAAAATGTATAACCAGATGTTGGCTATTGTTGTAATTACTATTATCACCATTCAATAGAACTGAAAATAGCCTCCTGAGTTCATGCCTTATCAAAAAACTAGAAGCCTAGATTTTCTGTTCCAAACCATTTATGGTGTTTGTTAAAGACAGCATCTTTGAAGAAATCAGATTACCCCACGTTCGCTGCCTGGATTTCGTTTGCCAATCATGAGTCTCAGGCAGCACCACAGATACTCACATTCATGTTGTTCATAGGGTGGGTAGCTCAGCCGAACAGAAATCAGGATCAGGAAGATAAACAGAGGCCAGGCCAGTTCCAGCAACAGCTGACTCTGAGTGGGAAGTAAAACAGAGCATTGTGAATTTAAAAAATAGCATGGATGCCTAACACTACTGGGCTTTGGGAAATCCACAGAATTGATCAACCTCTCCAGCTCCTCCGACCACTCTCTAAGATTCAGTAACATGAACTGTTTGCAGTTCCAGCCCTGTAACACCACTCCGTACCTCTGTGCCTTCCTTAAGGGAAGAAGCTTCCATCCTGCTTCATCCAGCTCACTTCTGCTCATTCTTCAAAACTCAACCAGGCACCATTTCCTTCATTAAAATCTCAGCCTGAGCTAGAAGCCCCTCTCTTGTGCTCCCACAGTAACCCATGCTTCCTCCTTCCACTGCATTCTCCTCAAGCCCCTAAAATCATGTTTCCATCACTAGTGTCCTCATCACACTAAGAGCACCCTGAAGGCAGGCACCAGGTCCAGTCTCTTTGCACACCCAGGCTTAGCATGCTGCCAGGTGTGTAGTGACTGTTGCTGAAAGGAGAGGGCCAGGGCAACATGCTGTGCTAAATACCCTCACCCCACCACCCTCACCCCCACTCCTTTAATGGCACACAGAACTAATCCCTATGAGGCTAAGAAGTATGCTCCAAAGGACAATGGAAGTTCATGCACAGGTCCATATTAAACAGTGAGCACCCAGAACTGGAAAGAGTTGGGAAGAGCACAAAATCCTTCTCACCCATCAAGGCTGGACACCATCTTCTCCAATGAGTTAGACGATCATTAAACTTATAGGCAAGCATGATCCACTGCTTAAAGCAATGAGGTTTCTCTGAAGGAAAACCCTGCCTCCGTGAGTTGCCAGGAGATAAGTCAGCAGAGGAGCAAGATGGCAATCACTAGACATAATATAATAGAACCAGTGGTGTTCAGACAACTTGTTACTCTGCCTGAAGTCTCTCAGCTCTTCCATTCCTTTCATTGCTAGACTCCAAGGTTCTAATCAGGATAAACACCATAGAGCCCGGAAGAGTCGTGGGGCCTTGTGTTTAACTATAACTGTGGCTTCAGAGACACAAACCCAGGAGAACACTGTTATAAAATCCTTTTGTTTGTTTTAAAGCAGAATTGTTTTTTCTTGATCCTCAAGTTCATGTTTTTTATTGTAGAAAATTTGAAAATTAAAAAAAAACAAACAGAAAAGTAAAAAAAGAAAAAAGGTCAATATAAATCACCCTTAATCCTACTCCTAGACATAATCCCTAGTAAATTTCGTTATCACTCTCTGTTAATAATCTCTTGTCTTTTTCCTATGTATACATAAATAATCTTTTCTTCTATTAAATTGAGATTATATAGCATACACAATTTTCTATTCTGCCTTTTCATTTAACATCATACTGGGAGCATTTGCCATGACATAAAATATTTTCTTAAAATATGGCTTTTCACAGCCATTTGGTATTATTCCACTCTATGACTAGCTCATAATTTACCTTTCTACTGATGATGCTGATGCTTCAGATTGTATTGGGTTTTTTGTTTGTTTGTTTGTTTGTTTGTTGTTTGATTTCTGGTATTTTAAATAGCCAGTTCTTAATTTTCAAAGACTTGTAATACAGTTCTACATTTCACTTTTTAAAAATCATCTTTTAGGAAGGAAATACAAGATAACAACAGTAGAAGGGCTAAGATGATAAGAACGTGGTTGATTTTTTTTTTATGCTTTCCTGTGTTTTCTAAATGTTCCATAATGAGCGTGTATTACTTCTCTCACAGAAGAAAAAACACTATTACCATAAAACTATGAAGAATTGTTTGCACAGATAGCATACCAAGAATTTTAAAAATGGCAAATGGATCCCTCTCTGGAAGAAAGCATAATGACAGTGAGGTCCCCAAGCCCAAAGATAGGTCTGGTCTTGCTAAACATTTCTGTAAATAATCCCGAAGAGGCAGCACACTGAAATCTCCAAGCTTGCAAATGAAATTATGCCTTTTCTTTTTTTCTCATAGAAAACATCTTTTTATTCTGTTAACTCATTTTATTAATTGAAACATAATTGATTGTACATATCTGTGGTGTACAGCATTGAATATCAATACCTGTGTGCAATATAAGATGCACAAATCAGGATAATTAATATATTCAACATTACACATGTAATCATTTTTTGTGGCCCTTTACCAGTTTCTCACTAACTCCCCCACCTACTCCCCCTTTCCCACCTCTGGTGGTCTCAGTTCTGTTCTCTCCTTCTGAAAGGTGAACTGTAACTTATTTTTAAGTTGATGTATATGTATCGAAATATCACGTTGGACACCTTAAATATATGCAGTTTTTATTTGTCAATTATACCGCAATAAAGCTGGTGGGAAATAAGAAAAGCAATTTCCTTTCTGCCAAAGAACACAATCATGACTCTAGGAAAATAAACTTTTCTACCAGCTGAGCTGGGGAGTCCCTCCTCCCAGGTATTCTGTACCTTTAATCAGCACTTGGCACAGCAGGGGCCCTATTTATATAGGAGCTTTTCCCCTAGGGCCACTTTCTCCTCAGCAAGCCTGCCACATGATAAAGGCTTAAAAATGTTTGTTGAATAGGGAATGAACTGAAGTTTATAAAATAATGAACATGGAAATATAAATCACTTTAGCCCTTTGGGAAAACAATTCCGCAAGGTGTATTCAAAAGTCATATTATCCCCTTTGACCAAATAATATTCCTAGGAGTTTATTACTAATTTACTAAATTTAAAATATCAAAAAGCTGTATACATTAAGTTATTCATTCATTGAAACATTATAATTGCAAAATATTAGAAGCAACTTAATTGTACCACAATAGGGAAATGATTAAATTATGGTACATCTACTTGATAATATATCATGCAGTCATTACACCAATGTTTATGAAACACAGACACTATTAATCACATAACATTAAGTGAAAAAAGCAGAACACAAAATGGTATGCATTCCAAGCTTGTAGCTAAATAAAATCACTTTCAAATATTAATGAAGGAATAAAACTTTTTTTAAATGGCACAACTATAAATGAACTCAGAACAGAATAATGCATCTGTCCAGGTAGCTGAGTTGGTTAGTGCTCATAACACCAAGGTCCAGGGTTCAATCCCTGTACTGGCCAGCCACCAAAAAAAAAAAAAAAAGAAAGAAAGAAAAAGAAAAAATGAATGAACTCAGGGGAAAAAAAACAAAATTAAATGAAGAATACGAGTAAGATAAAGAATCATCAGCCTTGAAACTCTGAAACCACCATTTGTACTTCTAGGATAAATAGTAGCTACCATTTATTTATAGCCCAATATATACTAGGCACATTCTATATGGATTATTCCATTCAAACCTCAGAACAACCTAGTAAGATAAAGAATCATCAGCCTTGAAACTCTGAAACCACCATTTGTACTTCTAGGATAAACAGTAGCTACCATTTATTTATAGCCCAATATATACTAGGCACATTCTATATGGATTATTCCATTCAAACCTCAGAACAACCTTGTCTCCGATAAGGCTAAGGCTCAAGGAAGGCTAAGTCACAAAGCTGGTCAGTGGCAGGTTCTGCTGGACTCTGCAGGCCACTTGAAATCCTGTTTGATACACAGGTGGCTCAGGTAGGAAATGGCCCCACTAGGTGTAATGGTTTAAAAATAGCAACAGGTTCCATAGAGGGAAGACGAACTCATGGCCTGTTGATTTATAATAGTTACAGTCAATACCGAGCACCTACTGTGTACTCAGGAATTTTCGTATAAATCATCTCTAATGTTTATTCACAATAACCCTGTGAGAAGTGAAGAAACTAAAGCTCAGACAAGTTCAGACAGCCAGGGAGGAGACTGAACCAACATCCAAACCCAGATCTACTGACCCCGAAATTTGTGCTTCTGTACCCATCAAGCTGCCTCTCACAGAGACGTGTTTGGGACATTCACCTTTTAAGATATGCCACTTAAGTGGAACCCAACGCTCACCAGCCCTGCTGAGCACTGATCCGACCCAACGAATCAAATGTTCCTGGATATCTCTGCAGCCCCCACATCTAAGACCCTGTAGGGCAGCAGATGCTCCAAATATGTTTGCTGATTGAAAAAAATGAATGGATCTTCCTCATGGCACCTACAGCAAAGGCCACAAAGAAAATCTTATAGGGCCGGCCCGGTGGCGCACTCGGTAGAGTGCGGCGCTCCCGCTGAGGGTTCGGATCCCATATAGAGACCGGTCCACTCACTGGTTGAGCGCAATGCGGGCGCGACACTGAGGGTTGCAATCCCGTTACCGGTCACGAAAAAAGACAAAAAGGAAAAAAAAAAAAAAGAAAATCTTATAAACCTTTTTCAGCAGGTGAAGCCAGTGTGTATAAGCAGATCAGGGAAAGAGGTAAGGAAAAGACTGATAATAATAATAATGGCTAACACTTGAATAGGGCTTACTATGTACCAGTGTTCTAAGTGCTTTACATATATTAACTCATTTAATCTTCAAGCAATCTTATTAGTGCTATTAGTATACCCATTCTACAGATGGGGAAACTGAGGCTCAATGAGTTAATAAACTGCCCAAGGATAGCAGGTTGGTAGATGGCAGAGCCAGGATTCAAAGCCAGTCTGAATCAGAGGTCCCTGCTCTTACTTACTATGCATCCTACCCTTTTTATGCCCTCTGCCCTCACTATTACCAGAGTATGTATAGACTGCTGACCTTTCAAAGCCCTTGCTGAGCTAAGACACTAACATATAAAAATGAATGAAGAAACTGCCTCCAAAACTCACACCCCCGCCCCAAACCAGAGAACTCAGGAGAGACAAAATTTAATCCATGCCCTTTTACCCTGTACCACTAAAATTATTTCTGTCATTGAACATAGAACTCATCTTCCAGACTCAGGGGAATGTTCTAGATATTTCTTTCCTAATAATGTCCCTCTAGAAACCCAACTTGATTTCTTCCAGGAATGCCATTCTGGCTTCACTTATTATCAAAATCAAATTTCTCCTCCCTCTCTAATTTTAGCACTTTTCCTA